GGGATTCCCCACGAAAATAAGGTTAGAATAATACATATTTGCACAATCTTAAGGCATAATGTTAGAATATTGTAATAAATATTTGTATTTAAATATTTTACACAGTTTTAGAAGTAAAAAATTTATTTAAGGTACAAATTTTAATGTTATTTTGCAATAATATTGCATTAATGTCCTGTCATAATGTAGTGTATTCAAAATTGCTATTAATTTAAAAAATACGTGAAATATTTACGTATTATTATTATTTTTAAATATTAAAAAAGAGATATTTACTTACTCTTTAAGAAAAACGTTGATTGTAAAGATTTTAAACCTTTAAAAATCTCAAACAACGGCATAGCACAAATCACATATGCTAAGTAGAGCTTTTTGTACAATTTACAGTCCCTCTCAAACCCAAGAAAGTTTAAATTAAAATTAAACAAAAAATATCTCACATAAAATTAATAATTAGGTATATTATTGCTTACACTTATCTGTTTTTTTTTTCAATGTCCCTAAGGCATTTTTAAATATCTATAAACACAATATTCTCTACATAAAAATTTCTAGTATGAATTTTTCATTTACAGAATAACCGGTAAATAACAAAATAACAGAATAACAAAAAAACATTCGGTAAACTTACCGGTAAATTTCAAAAATTTACCGGTAAGTTTACTGAATGTTTTTTTTGTCAATTTATCGGTTAAACGGGTAAATCGGTAAACCGGTATACAATCCCTACTTGACATTTCATCCCGAATTGGTTTTTTTTCGCTTTGAATTGACGGACAGACATTTCTGCACTGGTTTTGTTCAACTTCGATTAGATTAAAGTCCATAGAACAACGACAGTCTGATTATCTGCAATGTGACAAGCAAAACATAAAACAAAACATTATGTTACCAGTTTAAAGACTCTGTTAATCGTCTATAAACGGACAAGGCAACTTATACTGTACGGACATTCAAACTGTATTTAAACCGGTGTTCGACTGTCATTGTGGTCAGTATACGTCCGAACCAGAATTAAAATTACTTCAACAATTAAATTTGTACATCGAATTGTCTGAAGTGTATTTAAACTTTCATATTTAATAAACTTTAATGTGAAATTTAATTTTTAAGATTGCATATTTATCAAAATAAATATTAAAGTTGCACAATTTTAGATTTATTGAAACGTTTCTACTTTTATCAATATTTATTTCCGACCCTGTCGTCGTTTAGGTTTACAATAACGTGAATATTTTTAATATAAAAACGGACGATAAAGTAATTAAATAGTATACGATGAATTTGACAATATAATAGGTGTTTGTTCGGGAATTCACAAACAAAACTGCTGTCGCGCATTTACGGCGCCGAATTAGTCAATTCCGTAGCAAAAAGGCCGTTCTGCTGTAACGCAGTCACAGCGCCAAGTGGAAAATTCACTGATACAGAAATCAAAATTGCCGATTTCTCCGTCTTTTAAGCGTCTGTAGTAAATGTGAATATTTCGTTCGAAAGATACTTCTTTTCTTAGGTAACGTGCAAAATTTCAGGCTATTCTATAGAGGAGTTGCCGAAATATAAGCAGTTGAAAAGTGCAAAGATCTGCATAAAAGCCGTAACTTTTCTCTTTCTCATTCATTTGGCGGTGCAGATGGTACTAGACAAAGAACACCACTGGGTCTAGAGAGCTCAAATTTTAAACTTAAGCCTTTCTCCTCATCAGTGAGGTGCTGGCGAAACTTGTGAGTGGATAGGTCAAACTTGGCGGGGTCCTATCCCTCGCTTTTATCGCTTCTTAAAATAAAATTGCATCCGGACAAATGTTGTTGTTCAGAATAACAAAAGCTCAAATTTATGCAAATTCAACTTTTTTGTAACGATTACACTAACAGCATATTGAAAGCATTCGGATTAGTACAGAAGACTGCATATTAATTTACATTATGAAATCCGCAAATAAAACATATTGATTTAAAAATTTTTTCGAAAATCAGACATGTAAATATTATTGTAAATTTGTGTTTTTCAAATATAATTAGATCAAATGTGTTTAGATAAAAATAAAATTAAAAACTGCAAGAAAATATTCAATAATCTGTACAGAACAATCGATATAGAAAGATAAGAAAAAATTAGGCAACACAATCGTCTTATTTTTCGTCTAAGACTTGATAATTGCAAGCGGGCACACGAGTTCAAAAAAATTCGCCATCTTTCCAATGGAGTGTTTTACTTAAAGATAAAGAAATTTTATTTAAAAATATTTTAATATAAAGGACATCATCTGTTGATGTGTATGCAAGTAAAATCTCTAAAACCCCTACTATTTTTATTTTCTCCCGGTGAAATTTTGTTTTGTTGCTCTTTATGTTACAACAAACAGTAGACTGCTTTATTTGAAAAAATAAATATTAGCAACTATAAATAGTTTTAAATTTCTTCAAATCTCTACTCTTCATAATTTTTAATCTCTAGATTTTCATAAAAACTATTTCGTCATGCTTAACAATAGAATTTCTAGTAAATAAGGAGGTACAGTACATTTTAAATACAATTTATATATGTTTAAATTATCTTTTGTGATTATAATTTATTATTATTATAGTAGACTACACGAAAGAAGCTTACAAGATTTCCGTGATCTTGATAGTTTTACGTTGGCTGCGGCCTCTGGGTCTTTCTCTCCTTTCCAAGATAATTTACTTCCCATTTCGAAGGAGTGTCTCTGGTTTGCGAATGAACAATTTCATCGACGTCGTGAGACTCCGGGACGATGCGGTCGACTTCCGTTGATGGAAAGATGTCGATCCGAGGTCGGGAGATGGAGACGAAGATGGGCGCGAGACACACACACTACAATAGATCCGCCACTTGAAACTTTCGAGAGAAGAAGCCCTCCCGTCCTTGAATTTCCGTCTTCGATTGCCCATTTCGATTGGTGGCTTTTCCTCCTTCTCGCTTTCTAAGTGGTTTACCACGCGTTATCATCGACCATCTCCAACCGGAGATGGTCGATGGACTTACATTATTCTATTGTTTAAAACTTAGCATCACGTTTTTATATATAAAATTCTATTTATATCTACAGTACTAAATTTTTTTATTTAATTAAAAAAAATGATTTCAACGCGAATCTTAGTGAGGGTTCGGACCTGTCCAGAGCCTCACAATTTTTTGACTTTTTTCTGTGTGGATGTATCNACCAGTTTAAAGACTCTGTTAATCGTCTATAAATGGACAAGGCTACTTATATTGTACGGACATTCAAACTGTATTTAAACCGGTGTTCGACTGTCATTGTCCGAACTACAATTAAAATTACTTCAACAATTAAAT